TGCTGGACTTACGAACAAACTGGACTTACAAACGCACTTTTGGAATGGAACTTGTTTGTATCTAGGGGACTTACTGTAGTGTCCAAACAAGTACCTGAAGGCTCAATGGGGCACAGATAACCTTATATCACTTTTGCTGGATTTGAATTTATCCGGAAGCTTTACGGTGCCACTTGGCCTAGCCTTTACTTATTGTGTGTTCTTAAGAGCAATTGTACCATGAAGATTACAGTTCCATTCAGTTTAGGAACATCAAACATTTGTATGTAATATAGGACTACAAGAAACCCAGAGGAAACTCAGGGATAGGGAAGAAAATACTGTAGTTATTGGCTGAAGTTGCTATCTTTAACCCTCATGACTGATGGCATTAGTCAGAGGATCTGCTGCCACAATGATGTCACTAAGGGGTGTGGCTTTGTTCTCACTACCACATTCTACAAACATGGCTGCCCTCTTCCAGGACAACTCTTACTCTCAACCCAGGGCGTTTGCCCAAGCCTGAAAGGTGTGGTTGATGCATTCACAGCCTTACATGAGATTACTGAAATGCAGATTCCCCAGGTCCCTCCCACACTAATCTTGGACAGGGCCGGGTGTGCTACAGGACGACTTGGACCTGGCACAGGTGTTGGAGCCCAGGGAGCGGGGCTCTGAGGCTGACAGCAGCGACAGAAGGGAGTTCTTTCTCTGGAGGTGCCTCTGATAGAAGACATTATTAGAGAAGGAATCTGATTAAGAACGTGTAGGAATCCAAATCCGTGGGCAGGCCCATCAGGTTGGTGGGAACGGTGAGGTCCCAGTTACTTGGGTTCTCAATGACACTATTAAGGAAGTTACTGCAGGAGTCCTTCGAAATGCTCAGACCACAAAGGTAACTTTGCCAACTCCCTTTGACCTCAGTCACTGAATCCTGCCCTATAAACTTCCCAGGGCACAACGTTGAATGTGCAGTCTAAGGCCTGTGTCCTGTCTGGGCACTTAGGCATCGCTAGTTGTATTAGGATAGATGTGTTCAAAATATGGCCACAAAGCAAGTTTCTCTTGGCCCAATTGTTCTGTTGATAAATTATCAATCCTGAAAATGTTCCTTTGGAAAATTCCTAAAAAACAGGCTGTGTCAAAACTTGGGGTAAAATGAGGTACCCACAGCATTCTGGGCTGTTCTCAGCTGGTCTAGACCTTCATGGCCCACTGCCCACTGAGGGGTATAACCTCTCTTCTGGTTCCATCTTGCCCCACCTCATTCCTAGATTCTGGAATTTGTCATGTCCCAGCAATCCTCTACCCTGTGTTTTTTGAATGAACCAATCCTTATTTGGTGTGGGCAACACACGGGCCACCCAGACACATTTTCTGTCAATGCTGGCATCAATAGATGACCTTAGCTTGAATACTGAATACTCTTGAAGTTTGGGGTTGGTGGTTCTGCAAAGTAAGTCACAGTTTCAGAGGAATCAGTCACTTTCAGAGTAGGAGAAATCCGAGGCTGCCTGGAATTAAGGTGTCTTTTCCAAAAGAGCTCATTCTGCTCATTTTGTTAGCGTACTTTCAATTATATTCTTACTTTCCCTCCCCACTCTCAAAATGCATTTTTCCAGCTTGCTATTTAACTGGTAAACTGCAACAAGTTCAAATCTGAAATTGTCAAAGCCACCAGAGATGTACAAAATAACTTCTGTTGTGTGGAATTTTCTTGGCACTAAAAAAATCTAGAACCTCTCTTGGCAACACCCTTAATTTTACATTTTATGGTGTTTGGTTGTTTTTCCTAAAAAAAAAAAAAAAAATCCTAGTGGCAACTTTTTCCTCTGAACAGTTCTATAATCAATTCTAATAAGTTTGTGAAAGAGAAAACACACTGGGAGTCCACCCAATTATTTGGTTTCCACTAATAAGGATAAAGTCTGTGAAACTCAATTATTGTTGTTTATGGAACAGACTGTTGGGCAGTGATTCATTCCCAATGACAGCAAGTGGCGTTAGGCCAGAACTCAGAACTGAAATGTATGCGGCAGCTCCATCAAGGAGGGACAGGGTGAGAAGAACTTCACAAATTCTCATTCATATGCCGGGCTTACTAAAAATTAAATAAATAATCCCCCTTCAGCTCTTAAATGAGATAACAGCATCTCCAAATCACAACTGCTTTTCAAAATCTATTACCTAAAGCTCTGGGGAGTGAGTCATTAAGGCTGTCTTGCTGGGAACTAATTTCACAATTTTGAACAGTAACTGACCCCAAATTTATCTCCAATCAAACCCTCTGTGTTTCATGATGAAGCAGGTAAAGGTCTTCCAAATATTCAGAAGTGGAATGTGTTCAGGAAAAACATTTCCTGCAGTCACACACAGGGCATCTGTTTTTTTAGTGCCAGGTACTTGTTTTTAGTTCAGAAGAAATACAAAATCGCGTACAGTACATGCCAGGAGATCTGACACCAATTACTTAGGATTCTTTTAAATTTCCAAGAATAAAAAATAGAATCAATCTCCAACTCACTTCTTTCTATTTTTTTTATAAACAGCTCCCAGTTACTGAAGGCAAGACTTCATATTTTGGACTTCCAAAGAAGTTATCAAGAATATACAGCATCATCCTATTTAAAATAATATTGTTCCTACAGAAGTATCAGAGTTCTCATCAGAGTTGACAAGGTTTCTGACAACCTAATTCTAAGCTGTACCTTTCGGGCAAGGACCATCTTCTAGCATTTTCCACAGTATATTACAAAGTAAAAATGACACCCTCAAAGGGCTGCTATTTCCTCTCCTGTTCAAAGCAAACCTCCTTGAAGGTTTGCCAAGCGAAGCATCAATTTACATAGCTGGAGGAGATGGGTGTCACTAACAGGGTTTTGATTCAAAGTCCAATTCTCAGCAGCAAGGCATGCCAGAAAAATATCCTGTATTCAGTTGTCTATTTCATTCCTGTTGCTAAGTTATGCTTTTGTAATTTAAGTATTTTCATTAAAATGTCACATTCAATGACATCTGAGATTAAAAAGTAGAGAAATGTGATATGAAATACAGTGTGACAGCAAACTTCATTCGATGACTCTACTTGGAACCTGTCTTGTTATTTTCATGTATTACGAGAACAGTGCCTGCCAATCTTCTGAGGTGGGGAAGGAAACCTGACACAATGAAATAAATCAAAAGATGCTGTATGAAGAAATGAACAGCAAAACTAACCAGCTCATTCCTGCAATTCCCTCAATTCTATTTTATTTCAGGGGTGTGAATTTTTTACAGCAAGGGAAGGCACAGGTTACGGGCATTGGCTCCTCTCCTATGCAGAGTGGCCCACAGAACAGGAACCACTGAAAAAGCCAACAGGACAAGAAGAAAGTTCAACTTCCAGAGATTTCGAACTCTGAAATGCGTTCTGAAAGTATTAGTTCTCAACAAGCTGAGACTATACATGACAATGGGCATCTGATAACAGAACCCCCAACTCCCATTCCATGCCATTCTGTTCCTTCCAAGATGCATCTCAAATCTTCCCTCCCAAGAATTGCACAGATTATTCTGGTTGTGGGAGAGAATTCAAGGACACTGTAACAAGCCTTAGTGGGCTGGCTCCATATCTCTTTGATGTGGTCACATATTTCTCCATAGGGTTGTGACCTGGGGAACCAGTGAGCAGAACAGATGGCTGAAACATCTAGACATAGCCCATTGTGAACAGAAATGACACTCCTGCAAGAGGGGACACTAGCACTTCCGGTGGAATTTTATTATATATCCAACTCACCCCAATAGCAATGCAAAGTGAACATTGAACTTGGCACACAAACAGGAGTGAAGGGATATTGGCTTTAAGCCCTTCTCCTAATGACATCAAATCATATAAGGCTGGCTATGTAGAGTTAAAGGCTTCCACTCCTCTTCGGCAAAGGCCTCAATGAGTGATTTAGAAAGTGGGATTTACCCAAATAAGGACACCGCTGCACACCTATCATCAAAGATTGAACACACCAAAGGAAAGAAACACATAGGTCCACCGCTAAACAGATCCATTTAAGCTGATTCAGATGGGTATGCTTGAGCCTATGGGTCTCTGCAAAGGCAAACAACACGGCTTCAAGCATGGAGAAAAACAGAAGTTTCTCATGTCCTCTGCATGTCTTGTATCTTCCTTTTCCAACAGCTGGTCAGAAGTGTGGGCATTTAGTCATTTCACTATTTTCCCAACAAGGTGATAACCAACCTACATTTAGAGTGGACTGGGGGGGGGGGGAAATAAACAAAAACAAAAAACAAAAAATCTAAGCCAGAGAAGTAGAATTTACTTTTCTCATTAAAATGCTGTTTGTTATTTTTAAGTGAGAGCCAGCACATGTGATGATGACCAGCTTGGTGAAGAACATCTCCAGGTGGATGTGCAGTTCAGCACCTGTTAGGATGAGGATTCTTTTGGGTGAGGGAAACACCTGAACCCCCACCCAGGCACAGGACCCTGGGCAAAGTCTCAAAAGAGGTAGTGTTTTTACTTTTACACCAACAATACCACATAAGTATTGGGTACAAAAGAGTAGGTTTCCTTCCCACTCTACCTCAATGGGCAAAAGAACGTGCATCTTCAGGAGACGCTGGTGAGGACTGCTGGCGATGACCTCCTCATGGATTCTGGCTCCCGTTCAGAGCACAGAGAGACCCACAAAAGGGACCTGCTGCTCTGCTTCTGACTCAGAAGAGGGTAGCGTGGTTGTATCATCAGGCCCAATGTTGCTTCTCCTGCTGCCATACTGTGAGCTTTCTAGTACCACCCTGACTCAGGCTGAGGTCTGGCACGAAATACCCTTAAATGCAATACAAAAAGCTTCCTGTGAGCTAAGAGGGTTTATCAATTATATGCATTCATTTTTCCAGAGACTGGAGAGAGAAGATAAGTAGCCAAGGCTTATTTGTTGTTGTTTGGTTGGTTTTTGGTGGCTTACCTAGACAGTTTGGCATAACCAATCCTATAGAGCCTAAAGCCCAATTCACTGTTTCGCTTGAGAATGAGGTGTTTTTTTTTTTATTATCATTTCTCTTGAAAGTAAGGAAGAATTGGAAGCTTTAAAATCAAGAATCAACATACAGTGCATCTGGAAGGCATCTGGGAGCAGGGCAGAGATTTAAGACTAATGGACACAGGAAGAAGCTTTGCCTTACATCCCACGCCTGCTGCTCTTGAAATATAATTTTCTTAATAGCTAAGAGTTCAAGGCTGCCCGAGGTCAGATTTTGCTCTTCACTTCCAGCGATGTCTGACCAGTGAGGACTCATCGTTGACGACCTCGGGATCACGGGGGTGATGCCGACACCGGAATGGAAGCAGCAGCAGGATGATTAAGATAAGAAGGATGACTCCACACACGCTCAAGAGAGTATAGGAGACGATCCACAAAATGGGTTCCTGCAAAGCATGCGTGGGGACACAGTTGCTGGCTATGTCATCTGTTGAGAAAGGACCCGAAATTTCAGACACTGGAGCACCTGCAATTTCTGAGGAGAAAGAAGAGGAAAAAATCCACAGCTATGAAATAAGCAGTCCATCTGCAATGTATGACACAGAGACAACCTCTTGGTTTATTAAACCACAGTCAAAGCAGCACTCAGGTCCCAGTGATTCAGTCCACTGAAGATGCACCGAGGGGTCTCAGTGGCAGTGTGCCTTCACGGGTCCTGTACCCTGCACATAGGAACAACAGCGTATCTCAAGGTCTGCAGGTGCTGAGCCTAAGTGGTAGAGGGAAATATGCAGCAGGGTGCATGAGGGGACACCCTGTACCTCTCAGAAGGCTGACAAGACTGTGGCGCTATGCGGGTAAGAGGGCACAGGTTAGTGTCTGATAGTATCAACTGGGCAGGTTATGCTTCCTCAGTGGAGATGAGAAAGAAAGAGGGGAAAGAGAAGGAGAATCTACTGCAGAGAGCTCAGCTGGACCTGAGTCAAGGGGTATTTTCCCTGGTGGAGTTCATTCTCTATGGTGGGTTCCGCACTAGACAGGGTCCTCTTGTCAGTCTGACCCATAGTCTCAAATGGGTTCCAAAACCACTTGGGCAGGACTGACTCGGGAGACCCTCCTCCAATGTTACATCGACAACCAGGTGCAGCAAAAGAATGCAATGTCTAATTCATGACATCACTGATGATGAACAGAGATTGTTAAAAATCAAGGGGAACTTCTACTAGAGACTCTTGAATAACCTCTAACTGGGAAGAAAGTTGAGATGCTTTCTTAAGGTCAGTTTGGGAATTGTGATTTCATTTACCTATATCAGGTATATCTGCCCCTTCCAAGAATATGGCATCTTAAGCTTTACTTGGAAAATGAAAAAGAAATAGACCTCATTACCCATTGTCTTACTTAATCACAGAAATGAATATTTTGGCACCAGAAAATAACATCACGAAACATTTAATTTTTCTGTAACTAAGGCCGCGAGATCTTCAGGGCTGCCAAACAAGATTCTTTTTGATTGGGGAAAGAAAAAGTCAAAATAACTGGAATACTGGTCTTAAAAGAGTGTTTTTACAATGAGGGGAAAACAGATTTGATTACTTTGCAAAGAGAGTACACTTTCTTGCTAATGTGGATTCCTTTAGAATATGGCTTTTCTAAGTGTACCGAAAAAAAAAAGCCATGAAAAAGAGACTGCCAACACCTAAGAAGAGAGAGACACCGCCTGCAGTTAATCTAGACTCCCAAGTGCCTACAGTAGGGTTGGCAAATGACACCTGGCAGGCTGAAGCCACCTGCCATCTCTTTGAAAATCAAGTTTTATTGGAACACAGCCACAGCCATTCATTTACAAGTTGTCTATGGTTCCTCCTGTGCTGCACCAGTGGAGCAGGGCAACAGAGGCCATCCGGCTCACAATACTACACACTCATCATTTGGCCCTTTATGGCAAAAGTTTCCCAATCTCTGGCCTATAGCATGAAAAGGCAAATATTTCACAATCATTTTAAATAATTAAAAACAACCTTCTTCTTACTACAAAGGCAATACATATTTATGGTAGAAGATGTGAAAATACATGCAAATAAAAATGCACTTATAAATTAACCAGTCAGAAATAATTAATATTTGCATTTTTAGAGTATAATTACTTTCCATGCATCAATTTTTTAAACAAAGATAGGACTATGTAGTATATGCTGTTTGGTAAACTACATTTTCACTTTACATATGATTAAAATCTTTCCCCGTCACTTCATTTTCAACTATGTTGTTTTTATGACTACACAAAAAACCGTATTATGGATGTTTCAAATACGTTTACTAATCTCCTATTCGAGGCCATTTATGTGCTTTTCAACATTTCTACCATCACGAACACTGGGCTGAGAATCACCTTGTACCTAAATCTTTGCTTATATACTTAGCTTTTTCAGAAAGAGGTCCTAAAAGTAACATTATGGGTTAAGCATGCTGATATATCTGAATATACTGCCCATGAGAAAGACTGAATCGGTGTCTATGCCTGCCAGACTGGTGTGGGAGTGCCCACTTCCCACACCCTCACCAGGACTGGGATATAAGAATGAGGACCCTTAATCCAAACTCATAATTTTTACAATTCTTTCATTACCAGTAAGGGCATTATTTTAAAAATTATTATTATCCATTTATATTTGTATTATAATGTCTTTTTTCTCATTAATTTGTAAGTATCCTCTATGTGTTAAAAATATATATTTTTATATTGCAAGTGTCTTTCCACAGTAGGCCATTTGCCTTTTTTATTTAAAAAAATTACTTTGTGAATGAAAAAGCCTTAACCAATACAATTATGAAAAGGAAACATACTTAATGTAAAGACAACAATACCCCCAAATACAGTAAAGCATAAGGAAATTAAAAATCACTTGAAACTGCTACTGCTTCGAGCCAAGGTGGTTTTAAGAGGAACCAGATTAACCCTCTTGCGTGAAACAACTAAAACGTTGAAGAAAAAATATAGAAGAAAATGCTCTGAAAATATAGGAAATATGCCCCGAGAGACAATAAATACAGTGCTGGGAAACAAATGCAGACAGCCTAGCACGGCTCCAGTCACTGCCTTGAGAAAGTATCCAGGTTGTGGCACAGGGCAAGTGAACCCAAGCGGAGGTCAGCAGTGCCCTGAGGAGACAGACAGGAATCCAGGGACGCCATGGCTGTAGGAGTTTGCAGGGCAGAGTAATGGAGAAGAGACAGTTGCACCAAGGGAAATGCCTAGTATCTTCAGAGGGCCTTCCTTGAGCCTTAGGCTGAGTACCAATCAGAGAATGACAAAGACCAGGGAAAGAACCACTTGAAAAGGGTTAGAACAGGAGCTCACTTAGAGCTGAGAATAGTGCCTGTTCCCAACTGTTTCCGATTTGCTATGTTTCCCAGAGTAAAGGAAAAAAATAATTTACAGGCCATCAGTTAAAGTACTAAGAAGGACCTTTACTCTGTAAGGGGAAAAAAGTAACCATAGACAAAACACTGCTCTGATTCTATCTAATGATGGTTAAAACTAAGAAAAGAAAATATCAAACTCATCGTAAGTAACTTAATTGTAACCCAGAAAAAAAAAAAAAAAGCTCAAGAATATTTTTTAGAATTCAAAAATTCAGCACCCAATTCAAAATGTCTCACTTCAGTAAAAAATTAACAAGCGTCTTAGTTCATTTGAGCTTGTATAACAGAATACTGTAGGCTGGGTGGCTTACAAAAACATCTATTTCTCATAGTCTAGAGGCTGGAAAGGTCAAGATTAAAGTACCTGTACCTTCAGTGTCTGATGCAGGCTCGCTTCCTGGTTCGTAGACAACCATCTTTTTGCTGTGTCCTCACATGTTGGTAGGAACCAGGGAACTCTCTGGAATCTCTTTATAAGGGAATTAATCCCATTCAAAAAGGAGATCTGCTCTTATAACCTAATCACCTCTCAAAAGTCTGACTCCAAATACTATCATATTAGGGATTAGGTTTCAACATAAGAATTTTGCTGGGACATGAACATTCAGTCTATAGCACCAATTATGCAAAAAAGCAGGAAAGCATAATTCATTAAAAAAAAAAAGAATCAATTGGAACTTGGCAAGAAATGGCAAAGATTACAGAATTAGCAGACAGATTATTAAGACGGTTACTATAACTGTATTCTACTCAAGAAACTAGAGGAAATATTAAACATGTCAAATTGAGACATAAAAGATACTAAAAGACCTAAATCAAACCTTTAAAAATATAAACTGCAATATATGAGATGAGAAGTACTCTGGATGGTTTTAATAGCAGATTATACACCACAGAAAAACAGACTAGTGAATTTAAGCTTAAGAACAGAGACTGTCCAAAATGAAACAAACAGAGGAAAATACTGAAAAAAATAGAGAGAGAACATCAATAAACCGTGGACAACTTCAAGCTGCTAAATCATGTAATCAGAGGACTCAAAGGGAAGGAGAGGGAGGCAAAAAACATTTAAAGAAACAATAACTGAAAATTTTCCAAAGTTGATGGAAACTATAAACCCACAGATCCAAAAGGTCCAATCCCAACCACAGGAAACATGACATGGAATATACCAGTGAACTGCTGAAAATCACTGATAAAGAGAAAAACCTTAAAAGTAGAAAGATTGTGTACAAAGGAACAAAAATAAGGGTTCTAAAAGATTTCATATCAGAAACTATGCAAACTAGAAGACAATGGAGCAACATCTTTAAAGTACTGGTGGGGGGAAACCCTGGAAACCTAAAATTCTATACTCAGCAAAAAAGATCTTTCAAAAATGAAGATGAAATAAAGATGTTTTCAGAAATTGATATAATTCATCATAAGCAGATTGGATATCATAGAAAAACCTGCATCTACACAAAAGAATGAACTGTATAGCCAGTTATAAAATCTTTACTTTTAATTTTAAATATTTGAAAAGAGGCTGGGTGTAGTGATCTCACCCCTATAATCCCAGTGCTTTGGGAGGTTGAGGTGAGAGAACTGAGCCCAGGAGTTCCACACCAGCCTAGGTAACATAGTGAGACCCTGTCTCTATCAAAATAATAATAATAATATAAATAAATACCTGGACGCGGTGTATGCCTTTAGTTCTAGCTATTTAGGAGGCTGAGGTGGGGGGATTGCTTGAGCCTAGGAATTTGAGGCTGCAGTGAGGAGACAGAATGAGACCCAGTCGCAAGAAAAAAAAATTAAGTTAAAAATAAAATAAATATTTCAAAAGATAATTGACCAATTAAGGCAAAAATCATAACAATGTACTGCGTGGTTTATAACATATGCAAAAGTAAAATATATGACAAAGGACACAGGGGGAAAAATGAAAGTCTACTGTAAGACTCTTAGAGTACATAAAGTGGTAGATGGGAACAAGTCAAAGATGTTGAAGGGCACAGAGAACAATCAAAAGGGCGTCCCCAAGATGGCGCTGCCACCCAAGACAACAAAGGCCCTAAACTCCTAAACTCTGACTTTTCTCTCTTTCTCTTTCTCTCTCTCTCTCTC